ATCTTCACAGCCTGTGAGTGGAGCCCTGCTCTCTGACCTGCCAATCTTGGGTTTGCCAGCCCCTGCAGCTACATGAATCAGTAAAAACCTTGTGGTCTTGCCTGCCTATCTTATAATTCGTCAACCTTCACAGCCTGTGAGCAGGAGCTCTGCTCTCCGACCTGCCAATCTTGGGCTTGCCAGCTTGAGATGTTTCCTTGATATAAATCTCTCTCTCTATATATATTTATACGTGTTACTGGTTTGACTTCTCTAGAGAATCCAGCCTAAGACACTCTGGTAATACCACTTATAAATAGAGCAATTATATGAAGAATCAGTTAGAACTGCATACATACACACACAAAAAAAGATTTGCAGAAAGGAAATAATCAGACTTTTCGGGGATTACTGGATACTGGCTCTGAGCTGACACTAATTCCGGGAGACCCAAAATGTCACTATGGCCCACCAGTCAGAGTGGGGGCATATGGAGGTCAGGTTATTATCAGAGTCTTGGCTCATGTCTGTCTCACAGTAGGTTCAGTTGGTCCCTGAACCCATCCTGTAGTGATTTCCCCAGTTCCAGAATGCATAATTGGAATAGATATATTCAGCAACTGGCAGAACCCCCACATTGGCTCCCTGACAAATAGAGTAAGGGCTATTATGATAGAAAAAGCCAAGTGGAAGCCATTAGAATTGCCCCTACTTAGGAAAATAGTAAACCAAAAGCAATAACACTGTTCCTGGAGGGATTGAAGAAATTACTGCCACCATCAAGGATGTGAAGGATGCAGGGGTGGTGATTCCCACCACATCCCCATTCAACTCGCCTATTTGGCCTGTGCAAAAAACAGATGGATCTTGGAGAATGACAGTAGCTTATCGAAAACTTAACCAGGTGGTGACTCTAATTGCAGCTGCTGTTCCAGATGTAGTTTCACTGCTTGAGCAAATTAATACATCTCCTGGTACCTGGTATACAGCTGTTGATCTGGCTAATGGCTTTTTCTCCGTACCTGTTTCAAAGAACCACCAGAAGCAGTTTACCTTTAGCTGACAAGGCCAGCAATATACCTTCACTTGCCTACTTCAGAGCTACATCAACTCTACAGCCCTTTTTCATAATTTAGTCCACAGGGACCTTGATCGCCTTTCCCTTCCACAAGACGTCACACTGGTCCATTACATTGATGACATTATGCTGATTGGACCTAGTAAGGAAGAAGTGTCAATGACTCTGGACTTACTGGTAAAACATTTGTGTGCTAGAGGGTGGGAAATTAATCCCACAAAAATTCCAGCACCTTCCACATTAGTGAAATTTCTAGGGATCCAGTGGTGTGGGGCATGTTGAGACATTCCTACTAAAGTGAAGGATAAGTTATTGCGTCTTGCTGCTCCCACAACTAAAAAGGAGGCACAACGCCTAGTGGGCCTCTTTGGATTTTGGAGGCAATATATTCCTCATTTGGGAGTGTTACTCTGGCCTATTTATCAAGTGACTCAAAAAGCTGCTAGTTTTGAGTGGGGACCAGAATAAGAGAAGGCTCTGCCACAGGTTCAGGCTGTTGTGCAAGCCACTCTGCCACTTGGACCATATGATCCAGCTGATCCAATGTGCTTAAAGTGTCAGTGACAGATAGAGATGCTGTTTGGAGGCTTTGGCAGGCCCCTATCTGTGAATCATAGCCCAGACCCTTAGGATTTTGGAGCAAAGCTCTGCCATCCTCTACAGATAACTACTCTCCTTTTGAGAAACAACTTTTGGCTTGTTACTGGGCCTTAGTAGAGCCTGAATGCTTAACCATGGGACACCAAGTCACTCTGAGGCCTGAGCTGCCCGTCATGAAGTGAGTGTTGTCTGACCCACAGCACCATAAAGTTGGATGTGCACAGCAGCACTCTATCATTAAATGGAAGTGGTATATTCGAGATCGGGCCCGCGCAGGACCCAAAGGCACAAGTAAGTTGCATGAGGAAGTGGCCCAAATGCCCATGGTCTCCACTCTTGTCACATTACCTTCCATCTCCCAGTTTGCACCTATGGCCTCATGGGGAGTTCCATATGATCAGTTGACTGAGGAAGAGAAAACTCGTGCGTGGTTTACAGATGGTTCTGTGCGATATGCAGGCACCAGTCAAAAGTGGACTGTGGCAGCACTACGGCCCCTTTCTGGGACTTCCCTGAAGGACAGTGGTGAAGGGAAATCCTCTCAATGGGCAGAACTTCGAGCAGTGCACCTGGTTGTTCACTTTGCTTGGGAGGAGAAATGGCCAGATGTGCAATTATATACTGATTCATGGGCTGTGGCCAATGGTTTGGTTGGATGGTCAGGGACTTGGAAAGAAAATGATTGGAAAATTGTAGACAAGGATTTATAGGGAAGAGTTATGTGGATAGACTTCTCTGAATGGGCCAAAGAAGTGAAGATATTTGTGTCTCATGTGAATGCTCACCAAAGGGTGACCTCAGCAGAGGATGATTTTAACAATCAAGTGGATAGGATGACGTGTTCTGTGGAAACCAGTCATCCTCTTTCCCCAGCTACTCCTGTCATTGCTCAATGGGCTCATGAACAAAGTGGCCATGGTGGTAGGCATGGAGGTTGTGCACAGGCCCAGCAGCATGGACTTCCACTCACCAAGGCAGATTTTGCTACAGCCACTGCTGAGTGCCTAATCTGCCAAGAGCAGAGACCAACACTGAATCCCCGATATGGCACCATCCCTCGAGGTGATCAGCCAGCAACCTGGTGGCAAATTGATTACATTGGACCATTTCCATCATGGAAAGGGGAGCGTTTTGTCCTTACTGGAATAGACACTTACTCTGGATATGGATTTGCCTTCCCTGCACGAAATGCTTCCACCAAAACTACCATCCATGAACTTACAGAATGCCTTATCCATTGTCATGGTGTCCCACACAGCATTGCCTCAGATCAAGGGATTCACTTCACAGCAAATGAAGTGCAGCAGTGGGCCCATGCTCATGGAATTCACTGGTCTAAACCATGTTCCCCATCATCTTGAAGCAGCTGGCTTGATAGAACAATGGAATGGCCTTCTAAAGACACAATTATGGCACCAGCTAGGTGGCAGTACTTTGCAGGGTTGGGGCAGTGTTCTCCAGGAGGCTGTATATGCTTTAAGCTAGCATCCAATATATGGTGCTGTTTCTCCCATAGCCAGGATTCATGGTCCAGGAATCAAGGGATGGAAATGGGAGTGACACCAATCACTGTTACCCCTAGTGACCCACTGGCAAGATTTTTGCTTCCTCTCCCCTCCACCTTATGCTTTGCAGGCCTAGAGGTCTTAGTTCCAAAGGGAGGAATGCTCCCACCTGGAGACATATCACTGATTCCATTGAACTGGAAGTTAAGAATGCCACCTGGCCACTTTGGGCTCCTTATGCCTCTGGATCAACAGGCAAAGAAGGGAATTACCATACTGGCTGGTGTGATTGATCCTGATTACCAACAGGAAATTGGATTGATATTACATAATGGAGGTAAAGAAGAGTATGTCTGAAATGCAGAAGATTCCTTAGGATGTCTCTTAGTACTACCATGCCCTGTGATTAAGGTCAGTGGAAAACTACAGCAACCTAATTCTGACATGACTACTAATGACCCAGACCCTTTAGGAATGAAAGTTTAGGTCACCCACCAGGCAAAGAACCATGACCAGCCAAGGTGCTTGCTGAGGGCAAAGGAATACAGAATGGGTGGTGGAAGAAGGTAGTTCTAAATACCAGTTATGGCCATGTGACCAGTTGTAGAAACGGGGACTGTAATTGCTATGAGTACTTCTGCTTTGTATGTATATTTTTGTTTCCTTCACTTAGAGATATAAGCTATAAACGGAGGTAGTGCGTTTTTGATTGTATGCGTGTTAGTTGTATCGTGTTAGGTGCAAGTATGACTTTCTAATTGTCTTTATTCAGAGATTATGTATGGTTTAAGGAAATGTGTACATGTGCCAAGTTGACAAGGGGTGGACTGTGATCTTTAAGATGGTGTGTCAACTTGACTGGGCCATGATTCTCAGTGTTTTAATGTGATCACTCCCATGACTGAATATACTGTGAGTAGCAAGTCAGATAAAAGGGAGTCTCCTGGGGGGTGTGGCCCACAGCTGAATATAAGCAGACCTTCTGGCTTTTTGCTCACTCTGGATCCTGCGGCTGCCTCTTGTCATCTCATCTCTGGTTCTTAGGACTTGGGTTGTCAGCTTATCTGCCGAACTTGGGATTCCTCGATCTTCACAGCCTGTGAGTGGAGCCCTACTCTCTGACCTGCCAATCTTGGGTTCACCAGCCCCTGCAGCTACATGAATCAGAAGAAATCTTGTGGTCTTGCCTGCCAATCTCAGAATTCGTCAACCTTCACAGCCTGTGAGCGGGAGCTCTGCTCTCCAACCTGCCAATCTTGGACTCGCCAGCTTCTGTGGCTGTGTGACTTGGGAGGGGGCTCTACCCTGATCCACAGACTTGGGACGTTCTAGCCTCTACAATCACATGAGCTGTTTCCTTGATATAAGCCTCTCTCTATATATATATTTATATGCGTTACTGGTTTTGCTTCTCTAGAGAACCCAGCCTAAGACAACCATTATGCTGCTTCTCAGGAAGGTGATTTGTTAAATGGCATCAAGTTATGTAATGAATGGGATCTAACTCTGATAAAAATAAATTTTTAACTAAAATTATTTCTAATTGCATATTTATATTTGAGTCTATAGCATTAGAGTTTGAATATCAAATCTAAACTAAAACAATAACAATATAGAGTATGTTATGTCATTTCTATCAAATTGAAAGTTTATCCAAGGGATTCAAAGTGACCAGCTGAATTTTCAACAGGGATGCACTATACTATATGTTTTGATATTTACTCAAGTCAGTTTCTTTGCTTTGAGTGACCAATAGGATAATTCCTGATGGTTTTAGCTTTTAGAAGGGCTGAAAGAAAAATAACTACTTTTATTCATATATTCATTTAAGAGGAGGAGACTACAATCTACAGTATACAGATATTGTGACTTTCTTCACTGTGTGTATTCCATGCAGGAGGAAGTGTAAAAGATGTGAGATTAGAGTAGTCATCGGTTCCGGCTTTACATACTTATTAGTCATGTGATTTTCAACAAGTTATTTAGCTTCCTGTTTTTATTTCCTCCACTTTAAGATGTAAATGGTAATAATCATGTCTCCCCTCTCTCTTTCCCAGAGAAATTGTATAGATCAGAGAGATAAGGAATATGGATCAGAGGGAATAGTATGTGTGTGTGTGTGTGTATATATATATATATGTGTGTATGTATAAAAGTTTTTGAAAACACAATTCTAGTCATTATTATACATTTCTATATATTGATTAAAGAGTAATTGTGTTTAGACTTTATGTACATGTATTAACATGCCTCTGAATTACCAATTTAGAGTCACAAACACACTCTAATGCTAGGACAATAGAAATTTTCCATCTTAAAACCTTTAATATCCAAACTAGTGTTTTTAATCTAATACTTTCTTATCTAAAGTTACTCTGTATCTCACCATGTACCATCCTTGCAATACTGGGACCTTGAAAGTATTGTAGGATGGGGCTAGATGATCAAATGTTTTCCTTTTCTCAGACAAAACCCCTCTACTGTACCACTTTCAAATTGAGGTGTCTTTCCCCAAAGACAGTCAAAATGATAATTTTTTTGAGACTTTTGGTATTTTCCCTTTTATTCATGTCCTGAGGTTGAAGCCCAGAGTTTGTGGTAGAGTGGATGGAGTACAGGGAAATCTGAACTAGGAAATCCCCATTTCATTTTATATAATGGGTACAGTGGCTCCTCTGAAGGCTGTCAACTCCAAGTGTAGGCAAGTAGCTAAACACAGAAAATTTTGTGAAATTACGTGCCCAGTTTAATTTAGATATGGTAATCACTAACTTTGTATCTTGAATTAGTTTAGGTATATCAAATTACAGACTAATTTAAAAGACTTCAGTATTTATCTGCTGTAAAATTCAGATGTCTGATAGGCCTGCTCACAAGGCATACTTTGCCCAGCCGGAAGTATCTTGGAAAACAAGGACATCTAGCTTTTAAATACTGGCCCTTAAATCCTTAATCCAGAATTCTGAGATCCAAAAAGTCCAAACACCGAATATTTTTTGAAGCACATTTGACTACAAAACCTGAATCAATATATTCCACTTGGCATACATTGCTGCAGAAATAGAAAGGTGTTTCATTATCTGATATTGTCCAAGGCCTTGAAGAAAGGATGGTTACTTAATATATACTACATGCACCTATTGCAGGTTGAATTGCTCTGAGACAGAGATTAGGCTATTAGGAAGTGTTCCTAGAAACCGCACCTGTGGGGAAGGGAAGGAAACAGGTTTGGGCTATGATGCACTTTCAACAAAGTGCTGCTTTTATGATGGACGCTCTGTGGTGGATGTTAATTTGAAATATAAAGGTCTTCATACTTTGTGGCCACTCCCATGGATACATGCATATCCTTCTACCCCAGATGCCTTTTCTTCCTTCCGAGATTTTCTATTCTTTTCCTAGACCAACCCACTGCTAATCAGTCTGTATATATTCTAATTTCAGGTCGCTTCTCTTTCCACACAAAGTGAATGATCCAGTGCACGGCCCAGAACTTTACCCTGTGGGAGGATTTTCCCTTACACTCTCTTTCAAATCCACTTCTACACAAGGCTGCAGGGCAGCTGTCATCCGTTTTAAGCTTGCATCTACATTCCAAGCTTAGCTTTTGTCCTCTTCTGTCAGCTTGTCATAAGTCCCCTCTCTGCCTTCATGCAGCCATAGGCATGAGCTGAGTGAGAGGCAGTAGCACAAGGGTAAATGACATGGAGGTCTGGACTTGTGCCTCTCCTCCTGCTCATGCCTCATCCCAGATGTACTGCTTCCGTATTACAATGGATTGCTGTTCAATCTGCCCAACATTATGACTCCATGGTTCCAACAGAACCTTGTTTATAATGGACAGTTCTGGCCACATGGTTTGCCAGATGAACCATGATAAGGTGCTCCGTCTCTACCAGGACCAGAAGCACGTGTCAGGAGTTGTTTGTCAAATGATGTACAATTCTATGCTGCCAATGACACAGTTTAGCTCTAGAATCCTAGAGTTCTGTGTTGTGATTTTTCTAATAGGACTTGTCATAACTCCGCATGACGTATCTTCCCAATATAGATATCTCTAATATCAGAAAGCCTCTTGGGTTGTATAGCCCAAGTAGCAGGACTGCTTGGACTGTAGCCTGGACCGGCATCAGATACCTGTCTTGCTCTGGACCCCCTGTAAAGCCGGAAGCCTCTCATCCTACTGCATATTTGGCCAGAGTAGTATTCCCAGACATGGAATATGCTGGCTCCAAAACTCAAATGGCCTAGAAGATCTTGTGTTTTCCCTTCTTTGTGGGAGGCTCAAGATGCAATAATCTGTCCTGTACTTGGTAGGGAATGTCCTGGCATGTCCCAGATCAGTGGACTCCTAAATGTTTCACTGATAGGGTGGGTAATAAAGACGTTCCTGGTCTATTTGGTATACTTTTCCTAAAGTGCTACTCTTTTAAATTTCATTTTGTTTCTCCATAGAACAGTATGGGAAAAGTTGCTGTGACTGTCTTTATAATATCAAACACATTTTAAACATTCCCTCCTACATATGAAGCATACTGTCTTGATCCAAGGCAGCTTAACTGAAGCTTCATTTGTGCTTTATGTGACTTGAAGTATTTGTAGATTTCAAACTTGCATCATGACATGAAATGAAGTGAAACTATTGAAAAACACAAACTAAATGTCATGTAGTTTCCTAAATGTATAAAAGACATTCACTCTATCTTGAGGGCAATTCAGGATGTGGAGCAGTAGCCAAGCAAGTACTAGTTGTTGTCAACGCAAATGCCCTTGGATTTCAGTGTGGATGTTCAAAGATACTATTTCATGATTAGAGTTACATTTCCATAGATAGAAGATATATTGTTATATGGCAAGCATGAAGATATTTAGATGAAGGGTTATTTTAGGGGAAGAGACATATGCACAGTCAATGATGTTAATCATTTTCAAACCCTAAAATACCTTGTTTTAAACTTGTTTGCTGAACATTAACATTATCACGTATTTTACCTTTTTTTAACAGATAACTTTGTGGTAGATTCTAGTTCCTGTGTACGTGCCTGTCCTAGTTCCAAAATGGAAGTAGAAGAAAATGGGATTAAAATGTGTAAACCTTGCACTGATATTTGCCCAAAAGGTGAGTGATAGCTCAGATTATTTTGTCTTGAGCAGGTGCCTATACCAAGGTTTTTCATTCACTTTTAAAATGCCAGACAAGTTAGCCTATCAGAACACACACTTTCCCACAATCAAGCCTTCCCACACACAGCTTTTCCATGACCGAGACAGTTCCCTAAGATATCAACTGTCATTTCAGTGTAGAGTCCTGCTTTTGATTGATACCTAGGAAATTGAGCCAGACAAAACTCAGACTTTTTTCATAGGAAGTCAAAAATAAAGTTACATTTTTTCTATATGTAGCAAGTCATAGATGCTGTGCACAAAATAAGGGCTGATATGGTTATTGTAGCATTAAGAACACGTATTAGTTGTTTGCCACTGTATGCAAAATGCTGAGCATGAAAAGGATGCAAAGAGACCTGCAACATGGCATTTAATCTCCAGGCCTTAAAACATATTTTGAAAGATAAGACATATGAAATGACAAGGAAGTTTACCAGAAGTATTAAATAAACGTTGCAGATAATTCTTGCTGGAGAATTTTAGTGGAGGAAGAAATCCCTTCCAGCTGTGATGCTTATATTCCTCACCAGAATGAAACTTAAATTAAGCAGGCCCAAAGTACAGTCCAAATTTGCTGGAAGTTATTAAGCTTTCCAAAGTAGTAAGGAGTACCTTAGAAAAGGAGAAACTTCAGACTCAATTTTAGAACATATATATGTATGTGTGTGTATAAGAATATATATTTATGTGTGTATATGTACATAAAAAACCAAACCAAACCCATTGCCATCAAGTCAATTCCAACTCATAGTGACCCTATAGGATAGAGTAGAGCTACCCTATAGGGTTTCCAAGTAGCAGCTGGTGGATTTGAACTGCTGACCTCTTGGTCAACAGCCGATCTCTTAACCACTGTCCCACCAGGGCTCCGTATATGTACATACATATGTATATATAGAATTTTTTTAAGTAGAACCTTCAGAAAGCATAGGTAATACTCAATTGAAGAATAAATATTTAAATGGCCCTTGATTCTGGTTACAGCTCAGGTTATTAGTACTTTTTGTATACAGTCTACATTAGACTGGTGTTTCTAAAACTGCAGGTTGTAGATCATTAGTGGGTCATGAAGTTATTTTACCGAAGTGACTAGCTTTTAAAAAATATTAAATATAAAGTACTCATTGTTATTTATGATGAAAATGCAATGATTTGTTGACAAAAGAGAAGTTTATCAATCTCCTGACTGATGTTTCTTGTTTCTACAGCTTGTGATGGCATTGGCACAGGATCACTGATGTCAGCTCAGACTGTGGATTCCAGTAACATTGACAAATTCATAAACTGCACCAAGATCAATGGGAATTTGATCTTCCTTGTCACTGGGATTCATGGGTCAGTGTTAAATTTTTGTACAAAATTATTTTACAAAGTATAGTCAAAGCCTAAAGAATTCTTTAGCTTTGTCTGTTTAAATCCTCTTGACACAGAAGTTTTGCCCTTCATTAATGCTCTTCCCCAAGAAAAGCGAATGTGAGATTTCACCAGTAGTGACAGTAGACTAAAGATTCGGGGCACATCCAGATTTTGAGTTTGGTGATTACTTAAGTTTGAACATATAAATTCGTATTTAAGCCAAAATGTATTTGTAGGACATTCTCCTCAAATCCATAGATTTAAGCAAGATTGACTTACTTTTAGATACGTTTGGGGAAACACTATCGATGAGTAGGGTAGGGAATTTCATTGAAATTCTTAACTGATTAGTTTAAGACAATATAAATTAATATTTCTTAAAAAAAAGAATTCCACATAAAACATATCCATAAGTTGAAATTCTCCTGCACTTCTTTCAGAAATTCTTTTTGCACTGATACATTCTCTTTTCTTTTCACTTAAAGTAGGAAGTCAGTACTACTGTAAAAAATCTGTTTAATGAATTTCATTTTGATAATATTAAACTGAAACATTTCCTTCATAACAGAATCACCTGCTGACTTTAACTGGAAAAACAACCAAATTGTATTCTTTGAATTGTAATAGAAATCGTAATATTTTTATTTTATGTTTTATCTATTTGTTTATATTACTACTTAATCCCTAAATATTAGTGCTATAGGCTACAAATAAAAAAACTCCTCACATAATTCATTCAAAATCTTACTCTGAACATACATCACAGCATTTCTAGATGCAAAATAATTTAATACATTATGAATAAATATTCCCAAAAAGAAACAGCAAGAGCAATAGAACAAAGTGTTTATCATTCCATTCAAAGAAATTACATAAAATTTTTCTTTAGCTTGAAATGTAGCTTTTAATATGGGCTAATGTCAGGTACTTTAATAGTATGTATTCTCTGCTCTCAGATATGTTGTATTTGACCTATCAGTGTTTTTTTTTAAAAAATATTAAGATCTAGGTTTCTAACTTCTCTTGAAAAATATACATACTTGGTAACTCTACCCCACCATTCCTAAGTAGCACCAATCACTAGAACTGGGTAACACTGGTCATTTTGAGAAGGAACACGTTCACACTGGTCCACTTAATCCATTTATGCTGTTGTCTTAGCCTGCTTGGACCATTGTGTAGGAGTCCTTGGTCAAAATTTAGGTGCATCTTTATACATACATAAAAAAAACCAAAACAAAACAAATAACCGTTGCCGGCAAGTCGATTCCGACTCATAGCCACCCTATAGAGCAGAGTAGAACAGCCCCATAGGGTTTTGAAGGAGTGACTGGTGGATTTGAACTGCTGGCCTTTGTAGCAGTTGTAGCTCTTAACCACTCTGCCACACACACACACACACACACACACGATATTAAGTAACACAATATATCAACATTTTAACTAATTTTAATACTAAATATTTTAATACCATAAATGGTAGAGCATATCATGTTAATTATCTTCTGAGAATTTAGAAGACATAGATACTTGATTCACATTGCTTGCCTCTGCCTGGAAGTAATAAATGAATTAGACTCAAGTTCATCCGTGTGGGGACAGATTTGAAATAGTATTATTATGAATTGCATTAGACTAAAGGTTTTCACTTCTATCAGGTCCAGCATCCATATATATGTATGCACATGTATATGTATATAAAGGTGCTCTGGTGGCACAATGGTTAGGTACGCCACTGCGAACCAAAAAGTTGGTGGTTCAAACCCACCAGACTCTCCATGGGAGAAAAGACCTCGTGATCTGCTCCCATAAATAATACAGGCTAGGAAACCCTATTGGCCAGTTCTACTCTGTCCTATAGTGTCGCTGTGTGTTGGAATTGACTCGACAGCACACAACAACCTATGTATACACATGCATACACATAGGGAAATAAACTTAATTGTTATAAGGGCAACATGACTAAGTAATTGCAGACAGTCAATGTGGAAAAATAACCAAGTATGAAGTTTGTACACATGAGGTCTGTGTTAGTAATCTAGTGCTGCTATAACAAAAATACCACAAGTAGATAGCTTTAACAAACAGAGATACATTCTCTCACAGTCAACGAGGCTATAAGTCCAAATTCAGGGTACCACCTCCAGGAGAAGACTTTCTCTCTGTTGGCTCTGATGGAGGTCCTTGTCATCAATCTTCTCCTGATCTGGGAGCTTCTCAGCTCAGGAACCTCGAGTCCAAAGGACACACTCTGCTCCCAGCATTGCTTTTTTGGTGGTATGAGGCCCCCCTGTCTCTTTGCTCGCTTGTCTATTTTATATCTCAAAAAAGATTGACTTATGGTGTAACCTAATCTTGTAGATTGAGTCCTGCCTCATTAACATAACTATCTCTAATACTGCCTCATGAACATCATAGAGGTAAGATTTATAACACATAGGAAAATCACATGAGATGACAAAATGGTGGACAATCACACAATACTGGGAATCGTGGCCTAGCCAAGTTGACACACATTTTGGGGGGACATAGTTCAATCCATAACAAGGTTCTAAATGTGTGTTGGAACATTTTAAGGTTGTACAAGACAGGAAACAATTCTTTGCTGTGAGGAACAGCCCTGCACATTGCAGGTCATTTAACATTACTGTCCCTGGGTTATTGCTGAAAGCCTGTAGTATCCCTCAATCTCTGTCAACCAAAACACATCTAGAAATGTCCCAACTTCCCTTTAGTGGGGTGGTACTAGCCCCTTAAAAAACTGCTGAAAGAACTTTGCTATAGCAAAATGATTATGAACAAACAAAAGTAATCTACTGATAGGTAAATGCCTTATGGATAAAACATGCATGGGATGATTTGAAAAAGATATGTCTAGTGAGGTTCAGTATAGTTATTTAGTCTTGGTTCATCATGGAACATATAAAACATAAAACATTTAAAAATATGATGTGTTCCTCATGCTAAGTCTCATGTCAGCATGAAACATGTATTCTGAAGTCTTTCTCTTTTATCTTAGGAAGGTATTAACAAAAAGTTAATTTAGTGTGCTAAAGACATACATGTATAGGCATTTATGTATGTGACATATAAGTGTGTGTTTTTATATATCTGGATCTACATCTATATCTATATTGTTTAAAGATGAATAATATAAGTGATTGTCATGGATTGAATTGTGTCCCCCCAAAATATTTGCAACCTGGGGAGGCAATGGTACCTAGTATTGTGTGATTGTCCACCATTTTGTCATCTGATGTGATTTGCCTGTGTTGTAAACCCTGCCTCTATGATGTTCATGAGGCAGGATTAGAGCAAGTTACGTTAATGAGGCAAGACTCAATCTACAAGATTAAGTTGTGTCTTGACTCAGTCTCTCTTGAGATATAAAAGAGATAAGCAAGCAGAGAAACCGGGTGACCTCATACCACCAAGAAAGAAGCACCAGGAGCATAGTGGGTCTTTGGACCTGGGGTCCCTGCTCTGAGGAGCTCCTCAGCCAGAGGAAGATTGATGACAAGGACCTTCCCACAGAGCCGAGAAAGAGAGAAAGCCTTCCCCTGGAGCTGGCATGTTGAATTCGGACTTTTAGCTTCCTAGATTGTGAGAGAATAAACTTGTGTTTGTGAAAGCCACCCACTTGTCATGTCTCTGTTATAGCAGCACTAGGACATGGATTATAGATAGAAAGCATCTAGTAATTACACAAATGTTTTACATCACTTGATTCCCATTGTTATTGTCGTTGTTAGGTGTCATTGAGTGGATTGAAACTCATAGTGACCTTATGCACAACAGAACGAAACACTGCCCAATCCTTCGCCATCCTCAAAATCATTGTTGTGCTTGAGCCAATTGTTGCAGCCACTGTGTCAGTCCATCTTGTTGAGGGTCTTCCTCTTTTTCGCTAACCCTCTACTTTACCAAGCATGATGTCCTTCTCCAGTGACTGATCCTTCCTGTTAACATGTCCAAAGTATGTGAGACATAATCTCACCATCCTCGCTTCTAAGGAGCATTCTGGCTGTACCCCTTCCAAGACAGATTTGTTTGTTCTTTTGGCAGTCCATGGTATAATTCCAATTACATGACTTAATTCCCATTAGCCTAAATAATCTACTAACTACATTTTAAATAAGATTGTTTACTTTAATTAAAATATCTGGAGTATTTCTTTAAACTAACAAAAAGAAAAAATCATACTTAGATGAGATTATGCTTTTCAAAAAACAAGTTTCTGAAAACAATAAGTGTCCTGGCAATTTGTCAATTAAAGTTTTAATTAAAATGTTTTAATTAAAGTAATATGAAAGGCTTTAAAATGCTAATGAACGTGTTCAGTTTATAGTACGAAAGTGTCATTGCTCCAGGAAATACACTAGGCACTTTTCTTTTCTCGTACAAAAATTTATACGTACATTTTTATGTGACCTTAATTGCTCTCCCCATACTGTGACAGCATACTCCTCCTTTCCACCCCTAATTCCCCATGTCAATTCAACCAGCTCCTAACCCTCTCTGCCTTCCCATCTCACCTCCAGACAGAAGCTGCCCAGTTAGTCACTTGTATCTGCTAGAGCTAAGAGGCACATTCCTCACAAGTATCACTTTATGTTCCACAGTCCAGTTCAATCCCTGCCTTGGAAATTGTTTTAGTTCTGAGCTGATACAGAATCCGGAGGCCATGTTTTCCGGGGTTCTTCCAGTCTCAGTCAGACCATTAAATCTGGTCTTTTTACTAGAATTTGAGTTCTGCACCGCACCTTTCTCCTGCTCCATTAGGGACTCTCTGTGGTGGTCGCTGGGCACCATCTAGTTCTTCTGGTCTCAGGCTGATGAAGTCTCTGGTTTATGTGGCCCCTTCTGTCTCTTGAGCTAATACTTTCCTTGTGTCTTTGGTGTTCTTCATTCTCCTTTACTCCAGCTGGTTGGGACCAATTGATGCATCTTAGATGGCCGCTTGCAAGCTTTTAAGACCC